TTTAACTGGCAATGTCAGAAATTATTGACCTGAGTCCCCCACAGCTCAACTTAACAGCATGGCTTTATTTTTTATATTTCGACTTCATACTTTTCTACTGGATGGTTAAGACCAAGGTAAAGCAGGACCTATGCAAGAAGAGTTGTAGCTTTTTGGTCGAAAAAAAGTATTTTGACTTTATTCTTCATGACTGAAAACAAAAATAAGTGTATACTAGTTAGTAAAATTGTTTTACACAAGGGTACGAGTTAGCAATGCTGAAACTATTATATGTATATTCTAGAATTGGACATTAAGTAAATATATTTTGGATAAGGAAAACCTTTCTGCTTTCACTGTCAGACAGAGTTACAAATAAGGAAATGGGGAGACTAGTATGAACCTAGTGACTTTGGACTAGAATCTGATGTATCAGTGTAAACTAATGCTTTTCAGAGAAATGACTGATTGATAGATACATACATAGAAGATAGAGCTCTCTATATATATGTATTTGTGTGACTACTTATATGTATTTCCTGGCCTGTTCATTTTAGGGGCCATAAGCAATGATCCTTTAGTAGCAATAGGTATGCCTAGTGCTCAGATTGTGGTTTAGAAATACTATTCTCCAATCAAAGGCCCCTAGAGGAAATGGCATATTCTGGGGCTAAGACAAGGAGTATACAAGATTGACCTAGATTCAAGTATAAGGGTCAGTAAACTATAGCACACAGAGCCAAATCAATAGCTAAAAGTGGTTTTCAGGTTTTTAAAGGGGTGAAAGTCAAACCAATCCTTTTCCCAAACACACACATACACACACACACGACACACTTACAACCTTCAGAGTGTAAAATGTTTATTATCCGGCCCTTTAGAGAGAGAGAGAGAGAGAGAGAGAGAGAGAGAGAGAGAGAGAGAGAGAGAGAGAGAGAGAAAAGCCTAATTCCAGACTTAGAATGTCCTGTTTATCAGAAATACAGAAATTGAAAGGACAAAAATCCCAACTTATATAAGTTCCCAATTGGTGCTGCTTTACCTTGGTCTTAACCATCCAGCAGAAAAGTATAAAAAAGAAATATAAGAAGTAAAGCCATGGTGTTATGTTGAGCTGTAAGGGACTCAGGTCAACAATTGCTGACATTGCCAGTGAAGCAGAAGACCCAATACTATTATGGGCTACTGAACTCTTTTAGAATATTTTGCTGAGTTTACACACCTATAATATTTAAATGATGGAACTTAACAAATAAAGGGGATACATATGAATGTCCATTTTGTATCTGTGTATTCAAAGTGGTTAGGATAGATATATAGTTACATTCTCTTAATGAATAGAGGGATTTGTTCTAATGGTGTTTGTAAATAGGATCTCAAGTTTGCATCTTGTACAGCAATTAACCACTAAGAAGAATGTATGCAGTGTGTTATTTGTTGAAACTGTACTTCCGATTTGATTTGAAACTGTCTCATTGCTATTTGTTTCTCAATAAAATTATGGAAAAAATAAAAAAAATAAATAAATGAAAATTAAAACACCAAAAAAAAAGTTCCCAATGACCAAATGTAGGACAATATGAACAATGGTTAAATCATGAGGACGATAGCAAATGCAAGAAACCCTTGTCTATGATTCTTTATAATCAACGATTAGAAAAAGAACAGCTCTTCCTTATCTTAAAAGGATAACTAATAAATATAGACAGAATGACAAACAAAAAATCATCATTTGGTAACACTTTGATAGGTAGTTACTACTTAATGCATTTAAGAAGCTTCAGTATTTGCTAAAATTAGTGACTAAAGGAGCAATGAGAAAAAGGCTATTTGTGTAGTTTCTAGGTGTCTCTCCATAACACATTTAATAATTACAAGAGGAAAAGTAGTAACTTTACAGGGAAAAATGCGATAGACACTATGTCTGACTAAGTGGACAAAGTTAAAGTACTTAGTAATATGACAAGAACATGTATGCTTCATAATACTGAGTATTGGGGAGGATATGGCATCACATCTCTGGTGTTCTGACCAGAAATAGATAATGAATTAAACAATTAGGAAACAGCAGGCAAGCCTAAACTAAGGGACATTCTATAAAATAACTGATACATAGTCTTTAAAAGTGCCAATGTGATGGAAGACAAAGACTGAAGAATTCTCAGACTAGAGATTAAGGAGATATGACAACTAAACACAATGTGGAATCTTTGGACAGATAAAGGACATTTACAGGTTAATTGGTGGAATTTAAGAAAGGCCTGTCATTTAACAACGTTTTATCAATTAATTTCCTCAGTTTGATCACTGTATATGGTTATATAAGGTATTAATATTTGTATAAGTGGGGTGACATGAATATATAAGTTATTTGTGCTATGTTTGAAACTTCTTTTGTTAATCTGAAATTATTTCAAAATGAAAAAAGGACTGTGCTTGCACTCAATCCCTTCTGGATTCTGATTTAACTGTTCTAAAGTAGATCTCGGGCATCAGTGATTTTTAAAATCTTTCTGACTGTGATGTATAATCAGGGTTGACAAACTAGGAGCTTATTCAGTAGTTCTCAAAGTGTTGTCCTTGGAAGTACCATCTGTATCATCTGGAAACTGACAGAAATGAAAATTCTCAGGCCTTACCCCAGACCCACTTCATCAGAAACCCTGGTGGTGGCCTCTTTTAACAAGCTATCCATGTGGCTCATGGAATGCTTAAATTTGAAGACCTGAATTCCACAGAACTTACCTCAATGAAATGATACATCAACCTGAACTGTTTGTATGTATTTAACTTATAGAGCCCCAAGTGAAGGGAAAGACTGAATGGCATAACAGAAGTAACAGTAAGGTTCTACAACTTCTTGTGAAAGTAAAAATGGAACAGGTAATTTCTTTGGAGAAAATGAGTGGAAGAAATGGGCAGAATCATAGTCAAGCTATGACTGTGGAATTACAGTTGAAAATTAGGGGGTAAAATTGATTAAAAGAATATAAGATCAATAGGGAGAGGGGGAGGAAAACTTTAATGTATCTGTAGTTTCCAGTGCAGAATATTGCTAGCATTTATTTAGGTAAAGAGTGTAAGAAGGAATATAATTCATCATTTCATTTTTTTCCAAATTCTGTCCTGCTTATTGTCTTCTCCCAAATTGTACTCACAAGAACAGAACACAAAAAGAGAAGATTGGAATTTAAAAAAAATTTTATAAATTGAATTATCCTGTACACTCTCCTTATGTTCACTGAGTTCTATGAGCACACAACTATGGAAGCACAAGATCATCTGGGCCAAATAGCGAATGATTATTACAGATAGAATATTCAACAGATTATTAAGATTTTTTTTTTGGCAGAACCGGGGATTGAACTCAGGCCTTTACACTTGCTAGGGAAGTGCTTAGTCTACTGAGCCATCTCCCCAGTTGCAATTATAAAGACTTTTTGATTACTTTATATTAAAATACATATTTGGTCATTAGGTTATAATAAATAGAAGATGCTTTTGCATGATAGTATTCCTTGCTGCATCTTTAGCAATGGTATCTACAGTGCTGATATACCTACAATGGACAAAGTCTTATGTCAGAGGCTATTGAAACTTTTATAAGCTTTCTTGACTATTAGTGTCTTATAGTTTTATGCTAACATATGATTAGCTCACAACAAGGATTGAGAAAAAAACTTCAAACCAACAAACAGCATGAAAAAGTTTGAGGTTAAGGAAAAGGCAAATAGTGTCCGCCAGATAGCTCAGTAGACTAAAGCACCTGCTTAGGCACAGCACAGCAGCTGGCGACTGAGACTGGGCGTGGTAGCACTTGCCTGTAATCCCAGCACTTCAGAGGCTGAAAACAGGAGAATCACTATGAATCCAATCTACATAGTGAGACCCTGTAGACACTGTAGACCTTGTACTAAAATACATAAAAAAGAAAAGGAAAATGATTTTATAGTTTTCTTTTTATAGGCCAAAGAGTAACATAATTCTCTCAAATTGTTGCACTGGTATAAAAACATTGAATTGTAATGCTCATTCAAATGAATCCCAAACATCAAATTTTCCCATCTGAAGAGCATGGCTCTTGAGAATCTGAGTATAAATCAAGCTTTTCAAATCAAATTCCATTTTATCACTCCAGGATGCCTTTATTTTATTTTCTAATTTATTTGTAATAGACAATGGCTTCTAAAGTTTAAAGTTTTTCCTTAGCCTTAGTCAGTAGAAAATAAGCCATCATTTAATTGGGTCAGAGAGATTTCTAATAAATATTTCCATTGTGAATAATCCCTACTCCTCCTGCTTCTCATCTATTCACGTACATTTGAATAACATGTGTATTAAGTTTTGGTAGGGATGCATCCTTTATTGTATGATTTTATGTAGAAAAAAATGAAATGTGTTAATAGATTAAAAAATAGGAGTACTTAGACAGACTGATCCTTGATAGATGATTTGTGAAGCATTTTTGCCAGCCAGTATGGTGCCACTTACTTGCTGATTGCACGTGTTCCTCCAGAGGGGGTTCATCAGCTCCCTGTACTGAAGCATATCCAGATGAGGCAGTCTCACTGCGATTATCTTCTTCATGGGCAGAGGCGCTGTTGGGTGGATCACTGGATACAGAGACTGGTAAAGACACTGATCCATCTTCTACATCCACCTTTGAAATGTATTTGAACAAATTAAAATACTCTCAGAGTACATGATTTTCCTTTATATATCATTACAAAGTTTCTTCCCAGGTGACTGCTTCAGTAATCTTTCTTAACTTCTGAAGCCTATAATCCCTTTTGATCACAAAAATTTATACTACTACCAGTCAGAATAGTAAATGGGTCTACAAATAATGGGCTGCACATCTGATACATTCATTTTGAGGATACCATCACTTCATAAAAGAATGGCTGATATGAGATAGGCATACATGCTATCCACTGGGGGACTGAGAATCATTACTGTCTATGCAGCTCTACAAGTCATGGAGATTTTGTCAAGCTTGACTTGTTATTATCTTGAAAATAAGGTTTTTATCTATCAAATGTAAAATTATAACTTAATTTATTATGCTTTCTTTTTTTATTTTTATTTTTTTTTATTTATTTGAGAGAGAGAGAGAGAGAGAGAGAGAGAGAGAGAGAGTGGTGTGTGTGTGTGGCCAGCTCAGCCCACCAGGGGGCGGGGCTGGCTGGCATGTGGTGCTGGGGGATTGAACCTCGGTCCCTGATGCTTTGCCAAGCTAGTTCCAAGTAGGTGCTTTAGACCACTGAGCCATCTCTCCAGCCCCTATTATGTTTTCTTGTGCTCATTGTATTAGATGTTTGGTCACTATGCAATAATAGAGTGAAAAACAGAAAAGCGGTGCTAAGTTGGTAAGTTATATTGGGATCATCAAATGCTGACCAAATAATGAGTACTTTAGAGAAGGAGGAAGAAGGAAAATGGAGATGCTCCAAAACGGCACCTCACATCATTATGATGTAAATATGTCCAGTTTTAGATATAAATTATATAGGGGTACACTACATAGCTTAAAAAAGGAACTTATTTTTCTGGATGCCCAGACAACTAAATAGCATACTTATTAACTTCTTTCGTATCAATACTCTGCTAATGTTTACCTCAATTCCCAAAGCTTTGAGAATGTCACATTTGCACATGGGGCAAGTCCTGTGCTCTAACAGCCATGGATCCACACATGTCTTATGGAAAATATGGCTAATGAAGGAGAAAAAAAATAGTTATCAGATGGAAAACACAACAGCTTATTCCCTAATGTATACTGGCAGGTTATATCACAACTTTAGTCTGATTTGATTTGATGCCTTTTTTTTCCATTGAAACACAATATTAATACAAAGCAGAGGCCAAATGAACAAAATTTGCAAAGTTCATAGTACAATATTTTTAAATATAAAAGCCTCATTAATCTAGCTTCAAAAATAACTATCTTTAGTTCTCATTATTTGAAAATGATTACCTGATTTAAGTGATTCAAGTGTTACAATTTGAAATAGTCAATTACTTAACTGTAAAATTTTAGAGTCATTCTCAATAGCAGTGTAATATAGTACCGAGCACAACATAATACTGGTTCTTTAGGCAATGTTTAGGCTCTGTTTCAAGAGCACCAATATTTAATAGCTAAGAGTGTCAAGAGTGTTAAAAACAACCTTTAGAAGAGGGATAATGATAGTGGAGTTGGGGGTGGTGTAAGAGTGAGGACTTTTAAATAAGTGATCATAAGTTTATTTTTTCTCAACAGAATTGTTAGAATGGATTTTTTGGAGACAGGGTCTTTCTATGTAGTTCAGGCTTCTTGAATTTACTATATAGACCAGGCTGGCCTCAAAGTTGCTGCAATCCTGTCTCAGCCTCCCGAGTGCTAGGATTACAGGTATGTGCCACTATGCCTGGTTCTGGAATAAATATAATGTTAAATAAACCAGTATTGGCTGGATTCTATATTTTCCATGGAATTAATTTATAACAAGTTGTACCCAGTTATGTACACTATACAATTAGACAATATCAATTAACTGTGTTATTACGAGACAAAGCATTTTTCTGCACTTAAATAAAAATAAGTTAAACACTTTCTAAACAAATTTTGAAACACTGAAAACAGATTTTTGTATCACAATCACTTTTGTGTGTCACCAATTTTAGTGGATCATAAAAAGAAAAACAAACTCACTTGCAGGTTAAGATGCGTACCAAATCATTTGGTTTATATAGTTCAATACACACAGCACAACTATCTCCATCAGGGCCAATTTCCTATGAGCAAATATTTATTGTTATTCTGATAGTAAGAAAAATGAATTAAACTTTGGAGCAAAATCAGATTCAAATACCATAAATTCCTATAGAATTCTATCACTAAGTATCAATAGGTAATTTAGATTTATTTAGACTTAAAATGAATAAAAGAATAAAGTCAACAAAAGGCGAACAAAAAATCATGTAGCACTCAAACTTTTTCCTGATTTTAGAATCCATAAAATGTCATTTGTACAATTACTATGTTTACCATTTAAAAATAAGGTATAATTTACATAAAGTAAAATTTACTTTTAGTTTACAGTTCTGCAAATTTTGACATACATAGGTGTTTAACTCCCACTATAATCAAGAGATCAAATAGTAACATTACTCTAACAAATTTGTTAATGCTCCTTGGCAAATAGAATTTCTCTCATTTCTAGTCCTTAGCAGCCATTGTTTGTAGTTCCTAACATTTAGCTTTTCCATAATGTGACATAAATGGAATCACGCACAATTCTTTGAGTCTCATTTCCTTCATATATATATATATATATATATATATATATATATATTTGATTCTTCTACTATTCTATCAGTAGAGTCCCTATACTCTTTTTTTATTGCTAAGTGGTATTTCATGATTCATCCATTCACCAATAGAAGGACATTCAGGTTCTTTCCAGTTTGGACAATTATTAATAAAGCTTCTGGGAACAATTGTGAACAGATTTTATTTGAATATTGGGCATTCCCTCTTCACTGTAAATATCTAGTGTGATAAGTGTAACTTTTTGTTGTTTTTTTTGTGACAGGGTTTCATCATGTAGGTCAGACTGACCTCAAACTCACTATGTAACCTGTGCTGATCTCAAACTTGCAGCTATCCTCCTGCCTTAGCCACTGAAGTGCTAGGATTACAGGTCTGCACCACTACGCCCTGCTTTGACAAGTGCATTTTAATTTCATAAGAAACTGCCAAAGTCTTTTTTTCAGGCAAGATCAGGCTCAGTCACAGTGGTATGGCCATGGACACCAGATGCTTTTTCAAAGTGGCCATACCAATTGCATTCTCACCAGCAAATGAAGAGAGTTCCAATTACTCTACATCTTGATCAGTTCTTGGCATGTTCAGATGCATTAATTGAGGCTTTTCTAATGAATATGCAGTTACTGTAGTCTTAATTCTATAGTTCCCTAATAATCAATGATTTTAAGAATCTTTTTATGTGTTTGTCATCCATATCATCAATACATGATTTTTGTGTAGGGTCTGTTTTGCTTGCCTATCTTTTTTATTGGATTTGCCTTATTGCTGAGAATATTTTATATTTTCTGGATAGAGTTCTTTAAGAAAGAGGTGATTCATAGATATTTCCTTCCAACCTATTCCTTGCCTTTTCCTTCCCTTTACTATTTCTTTGAAAGAGTATACATGGTTATTATTATTATTAATTATTATTATTATTATTTGTATTTTTAGAGAAGGGTCTACAGGGTGTTCAGAGTCTCACTACCAGATTGGACTCGTAGAGATCCGCCTGTTTTCAGCCTCCCAAGAGCTGGGATTACAGGAGCAAGTCACCACACCCAGTCTCAATTGCTGTCTCATCATGCCCTGGGCATGGGCCGGCATGGCAGGTCTGGGGATCTAAATCCCACCCCCTGCATCTGCTTGCAAATGCTTTAAGCTGGTGAGCTATTTGGCCAGTCCTAAATGTTTTTTTATAATTTCTTTTTCCATTTGTTATGCATTTGGTACAGGGTCTCACTTCACAGCTCAGACTCATTGTGATCCTCCTGTTTTTAGCGTCCCCAGTGCTGGGATAACAGGCGTGCACCACCATGCCTGGACTAAGAGTATAAATTTTTAATTTTGACAAATTTCTTCTTTTATGTACTTGTTTTTAGTGACACAGCTAACAAATATTTGTTTTTCACCTCATGAAGAGTTTTTTCCCCAAACTTTTCTTCCAAAAATTTTGAGTTTTAGGTTTTATCTTTAGATCTGTGATCCACTTTGAGATAATTTTTTAATAGTATATGAAGAATTACAGCGGTACTTCAGTTCACAAACCTCATTCTTTCCATGATTCTTGTCACAAACTGAGTTGGAGAAGAACTGAATCAAATTCAATGGTTAGGTTCAATGTTGGGCATATGGAGCAATTTGATTTGGTTTTCATCCAGTTCAGTTTGTAACCAGAGAGAAGAGAATTGAATTCAGGAATCAATGTACCATTGTAATCATGATTCTTTTTTTCTTATGGTTATTTATTTATTGTGTAAGTCTATCCTTTCTTCACTGGATGCCTTTGCTATCTTTCTGGAAAATAAATTAACCATATGGACTCTGTTCTATGTCACTGCTTGATCTTAAGTCTATGCCTTCTCCAATACCAATCTGCCTTGACTACTGTAGTTTTAAAACAGTTTCAGCTGAGTGTGGTGGTGCATGCCTGTAACCTCCACACTCTGGAGGCTGAGGGAGGAGAATAATCATGAGTTTGAGGCCACCCTGGGCTACACAACAAGCTCAAGGGCTGCCTGAACTGTATAGAGAAACCCTGTCTCAAAATAAAACAAAAATAATTCTACAAGTTAAGTAATATGAATCACCAAAAGTTGCACTTACATATCAAAATTGTTTTATTGTAGTTTTTTAGCTTTTCCATATAAATTTAGAATCAGCTTGTAAATTTTTATAGAAGATCCTACCAGGATTTTTATTGAAATGCCATTGAATCTCTAGTTTTGAAGGAAATGACACCTTAACACATTTTCTGACTTAGAAGCATGGTATATTTCTATTTTCAGAATTTTTTCTTTCATTAGTGTTTTTGCATTTTCAGCATATAAATCTTGTAGGTGATCTGAAAACTTATATCTAAGTAATTATTACTTTGATGCTGTTGTAAATGGTACATCTTTATTTTGATGAGTTCTACAGCTATTTTTATAATACATATTTTATCTATCAGTGGTTTTCAACTGTCCTAAGTCTGAAAATAAATATTCAAACAAAGTTACATCGGAACATTACATTAGTTTGCTGTTGTTGCTATAGCAAGTTACTATAATTTAGTGGCCTAAAACCACATGACTTTATTCTTTTACTGTTGCCAATACTAGTCTCCTTGTTTGAGGCTTCAGGGCAAAATCCTTTCACAGCTTGAAGATGGTGTCTAGAATCTGGCTCAATGCCTGCCTCTTCCTTGAATCAGCCCAACTTCTTGCTTCCCTCACCACATACCCTCTTCCTTCACCTTATAAGAACACTGTGATTATATTTAGGGCCCATCTGGATGATCCAGAATAATCTTCCTATCTCAATTTCCTTATCTTAATTGTATCTGCTAAGTCCCTTCTGCCATATAAGGTAATGTTGATGGGTTCCAGGGATTTAGACTTAGATATACTTGGAGGTCATTATTTAGCCTATTCCCAGCATCAAATGAAGTTTTTAAAGCTAATAAAGTTTACAAATGCCAATGAAAAAATGTATTGGAAGAGTATTTGGTCTAAACAATGGCTTGGAAGCACTGCTTTAAAACAAATGGAATTTAAAAGTAATAAATTCACCTTGTCTCCTTGTTTCAGTGTCCGCAGCTGAAGCCTTCCAATAGCTTTTTTAGCATCTGCTTTTAATTGTCTCTGTAATAAGAACAGCAAGTATTAGAAAAACTTTTTAAAAAGAACTATGCTGAAAAAACATAAGGTAGACTAATAAATATTTATCAGGTAAAAGTCAATGTATAGATGTATTTTAAAAGAAAATGTAATTTACTGTAACCATTTTTTTTTACATCAGGCATGATTTTTTTTTAAATTACCGAAGCTTTTTCCTTATATTTTCTTACTTTCTTAAACTGCATTTTTGGGACTACAGTGTTAAAGCTACATGTCTCTCTGCCAAATGGATTCAGATACTATGTTTTTTCAAAGCAATTTTCCTATTTTCAAACTCAGAGAATTTAGAGTACATTTTCTCTGGTTTCTTTTTTGGAACAGGTTTAGTAGAAAGCACATAGGAATGAGATTCAAATGGACATTGATACAAAATCTGATTTTGTCTCTTCCTAAATGAATAACTTGAGACAGATTTTTTTTTTTTCGGAACCGGGGACTGAATTCAGGCCCTTGCACTTGACAGGGAAGCACTTATTCCACTGAGCCATCTCCCCAGCCCAGACAAATCTATTTTTTGAGCTTGATTACTCATCTACAAAATGAGGGTAATGCAAATCTTTATGGTATTTATATCAGAAAAAAATTGCTGTTTGTAACCACTATTGCCTACTAAGAAGGAGGATTCTAAGAATAGTCATCTTTCCTGTTTGAGTGAGCACATATCTAAGTGAGTCTAGATACTCAAGGCTCATTTAGGTAGTAAAGATTAAACCATTATGTATAATTGAGTCAGAAGTGAAGATGGAGTGTTACAGGCACTAAAAGGTCAGGGAAAGACTACAAAGAATGAAGTCACTGAGAGAGTGCCCTTCTATGTGAGATGAACTGGCCAGAGGAAAAACAATCCTAGGTGGTGTGATTTGGTATAATGCTGCAAACAAATCCTTCCTTTCCCTAAAGTCTGTTACATGCAAGAATACTGCAAGTCCTTAGCATTACACATTGCTATCTTCAGTGCAGTTGCTTAGTTCACAGATATCAGCATATATAGTTAGTCAGAGTGAGAATCCTAAAAATTAACTGCTAGTTTCAAAAACCTGCTGAAGATTCTCAGAATCATTGCCTTACCCATCTTGTGCATATAAGTGTATGGTTTTGTCCCTGTCATGTTTCCTAGCTTTTCTCCCTGCACTCTCTTCGTTATTTAATCCTTAAGTTCTCACTTTCCTTTTAATTATGTTATACCTTTCTATTTTTCCTTCTTTTGAGTTCTTACACTAGGGAGACTATACGATATTTACACATGTGGATCTGGTTTATTTCACTTATATCTTCAAGTAGCATCCATTTAAATACAAAAGCTTCGAGTATATCATTCTTTATAGCTGAGTAATACTCCATTGTATAAAAATACTACACCTTTTTTATCGATTCCTGAGGTGATGGGCATTTTGGTTGTTTGTGAGATCTGGCTATCACAAATTGTGCTGCTATAAACATAGGTATACATATATCACTTCCGGTCTTCTAAATATGTACTGCTAATGTCATATCAATTACTGCTATACTGTCTCTCAAGTAAATGTTTAAAAAAAGGTAATAAATTAAAACAAGAAACAAGAAAAAAAAGTCATAGGACTGTCCTGCTACAATGTTGTATATGGTTAGATTTCTAAATTTCTGTGTAGGGGCCGGGGAGATGGCTCAGTGGAATAAGCGCTTCCCTGGCAAGCGCAAGGGTCTGAGTTCAATCCCCGGTTCCACCAAAATAAATAAATAAATAAATAAATAAATAAATAAATAAATTTCTGTGTAAAAAGATGTAATTGTTTATTCCTATTTTTTAAAATATTTTTTCTTATTTTCTTTTTTTCACCACATTCTGTAGGGATTTAAAGTTTAACATATCAATACTTGATGGAAAATACCTGTTCTATGTTATGTCTAAGATGTTTGATATTCAGACAGATAATGAGGGTAAGCTCAACGGCCTATGTTGTAGGGTAATAGTATCATTATGCTTCTCTTCTGGAGGGTTAACAATCTAAGTTTGCAGACCAAAAATTAGAGAAAAAGAAGGGCCACAAGGACAGCCAACATTTTGGCCCTACCCTTTCAAGGTCAATGAGGACTCAGGACATAGGAGAACCTGTACTGTAACATCCTGTGACTCAGTTGTGCCCCAAATTTTCTGATGAAGGAGATAATGGCGCCACAGAGGAAAGTGATTGATGATGTAGAGTGTGCCTAAGGAGAGTTGTATGGAGAGAAAACATTCTCTCAGGCTTTCACAGAGAGCACACTGGCCAAGCAATGGCCGTGACTCATTCACATGGCTGACACTGACAAAGGTTCTACAATCTGAGGTACAGGATCTCAGGATAAAGCCTGAGGGGACTAGACTGACCTTGTCAGATACAAAAGTTACATTTCTTGTTATATAGGTCTTGCATTATCTTGGTCTTAAGCATCCAGCAGAAAAGTATAAAAATGAGGTATAAAAAGTAAAGCCATATTAATATGCTGAGCTGTAAAAGGCTCAAGTGAACAACTTCTGATATTGCCAGTCCTATGGATAACCCACTACTATTATGGACTACTGGACTACATAGGATTATTTTGCTGAATTCATGTACCTACAATATTTAAATGGCAATGGAATACCCATCTCTGACAAAACTAAACAAAAAAAGGGGATTCAAATGAAGGACCATTTTGTATCTGTATATTTAAAATAGGATAGATATACAGCTACTTTCTCTTAATTCAATGAGGAGAAAGATTCGTAGTAATAGTTTTGGACAGAATATCATGTCTGCATCTTGTACTATGAGTAACCACTACGAAGACAACAATATGCAATGTATTAATTATTGAAACTGTCCTACTAATCAGTTTTGAAATTTTCTTATTGCTATTTGTTTCTCCATAAAATTAATAAAACATAAAAAACAGTACAAGTGAATACAATGTATGTGCAAATTAAATAGAGGTTGGATTTCACGCTGGGATATATACTCTGGTGACTATAATAATAGCATGCACAGATGATAAACAATCTTCCTATTTTGCACCATAAAATGAATAAACTCAGTAGAAATTCAGCCAAAAGTACATGCCCAGAACTAGGGCTTATTGTAAGAATGTAAAAAGCTTCCTCATCCCTTTTATATTTCCTTCCCTAGTAAGGTTTCCAGCTGGCATCTAACTTACATGAAAATTAGAAATATTATCAGTAAAGTATCTAGTATAATGCCTGATACACAGTAGACATTTGTTGAAATGAAAATATAAGTTACTACTCATAAATAATCATTACCATGTATCTGTAACTTGTCCGTACCTATTTGTAGCACATGCATTTTGCAAGGCAATGATCCACAGTTTAGATTGAAGAGGAATCTCCTCAATGCCTAAACCTGTCCCTTATATAAGATCGCATTTTGTGAAAGCTATTTGGTTTAAAACCAAGAAAATTATTACCCAAAGTGTTTCTTTGCTCCCTCAGGACAGCAGAAATCTCAACTGTTACCTTATTAGTAAATATAGCTTAAAAGAAGCAATTAATAGGAGGGCCTAGAGTCTAAAATGAAAAGAGGTATTAATGAAAGTCCTTTTACTCCTGTTCTTAATTTGGAGTTAAAAAGGGGATGCTATGATGCCTTTTCTTTTGAGCACAAATATTTTCCTATTTGTAAATGAATAAATAAATCTTAAAGTAATGGTGAACCTAGGACACTTGGGATCTATAGAACACTTAACCCAACGTTTAATGTGAGGAAGAAGAAAATTGATGCCAAAGAGGAAGAACATCTGGATCCAAATATCAGAGTTGGTTAGTTTTAGCCTAACCAAAGGTCAGAGTTATATCAAGGAAATCATCTGTAGCTTGCAGCAGGAAGCTACTACCAGTACTTTCTGACACTTACAGAGTCATTACACAACTGTAAAACCATTATTTTAATGTCTTTCCTTGTTCAATTCTTAGAAGAGACCTCTGAAAGAAGTAGTATTCTCATGTAAAGATGAGGAACTTGAGGCTCGGAAAAGTAAAATAACTTATGCAAATGACCATAAGGCCTCTGAATGATAGAACTGTTACTGGAACTCTGATCATCATATTCCAAGAGTCCATTACAATATAGCCATTCATAATTGAGATTCTTTCTTGATATTTTTGTAGTTCTTCCATTCCATGGTTGTTTTTTCACCAGTGTAGACAGGGTAAGTTTTGATTCAGGCATCCCAAAGAAGAGATGCAGAGTTGTGGACTAAGTTCAACATCTTTATTTTGTTTCTGTATTATTTTCCCAATGGCCTAGCTGCCCTGTCTGTCCAGCTGCTCTTGTGGCTCCCAGTCACAAATAGTGGCTGCTCACCAGTGTGAGACCTTATATAGCACAAGTGGTTACCAAGACATCAAGAGATGCAGGTGTGCTTGTCTTGTTGACTCACTGTCTCCTGAATTCTCCCTTCATAGCCTGAACTGTAGTCGTGGCCATCTGGGGCTTTTATGACCTCTTACAATGATCTGTCAAACTGCGGTAATGTTTTTTTTTTTTTTTTTTTTGGCGGAACTGGGGATTGAACTCAGGCCCTTGCACCTGCCAGGGAAGTGCTTATTCCACTGAGCCATCTCTCTGGCGCTAATGTTTTGAGAGAACAACTAGCCCCGCAGGCTGCTGGCCCTGGCCTAGGTTTCCAATCTGCACTACTTTCTTTTCACATGGATTCTGAATTACTTAGACAGTGAGAGGAGAAAGATGCAAGTGAAAAACAAGAGAAAGCAAGGGGGTTTACAGCAGGGAAGTGGTAATACACTTGAAAATATATGTTTGATATATTTTTTTAATTTTTAAGGCACTTCTGATTTAGATTTAACTATGAACTCTATCACCCAGTTAGGGAAATGCTCTCATAAAGAAGTGGTATCGCTACTTGATAAAGCTGATATTGTCTTATTTCTTACTCAAAAATACTCAATTCAACACTATATATGTGTCTCAGTCTCCAGTGCTAATGCA